GGAAGGAGGTCATTTTCTAGCCTGAACTAAGGTTCTTAAGCAGCCCAACCACCAGTAAACCTCACCAGCTTGGAGTTTCTAGGTCACTGGGCTGTGTGCTTAAATAAGGCACAGCAGAGCTAGGAGGCTGCTCTTAGGGCCTGGATATCTCTCCTCTCAGTAACACACCATTTCACCTGAGCCACAGTGATAGGTTTGTTGCCCTGGAAATGGAATAGGACGGTGGCTTTCCAACTTTTTGTGACAGAGATCTACAGCAAGAAGTACATTTTACATTGGGTCCAGAACACATGCGAGTATGAAAACACATACAAAACAAACATTTCATAAAACATTACTTAACCCTTAATAAGAGCAATGCATTCTGATACTTTCTACTCTCTTCTATTCTCTTCTATCTTATTCTATTTTGAAAACAAAAGAGGAAGGAAATTTATTTCCAAACCTACTAACGAGGTTGGGACAAGCAACACAAGACTAGAAGAAAAGATTATACATTTTTCTCCCACTGTCTTCCAAGTATGCACATTTTACAAAGGCTTCCTGACAAGTCTTCCCAGTGCCATCTACTGTAGCCTCTGGGTATTGCGCGTGCTTTTTTTTCCTGGCACAGAAATTTTTTAAGGATGAGATTAAATCAGAGAACTCTACACACCAATACGTGCTTCTTCCCCCAAAGTGGAAATGGCTCCAATACAGTTTAAGGAGAAGTGTAGATGAATAGCTCACACACAAACTCAGTTCTGAAGAGGGACTTTCCAAGTCAGAGAATCCACCTGTTTGGGACCTCAGAAGCCTAACTGACCACGTAGTCAGTGGTTTCCAGAGAGTGACAAATTTAAATTCAGGACATTGTAGAGTAGCATTTCATTCAAGCTGCTGTGGTCTATCAAATACAATATAACCAAGGAATCACTACTCTGTAGGCCCTTGTCAACCTATGTCTATGATTTTTTTTTTCCCACTAAAGCAACTCATGAGTGTTTACTATACCCTAACTTATTCCAAAAGCTCTTCAAGATGATATATAACAACAATACGGTTGTAACACAGACTAAAACATAGAAATCTCTTTTGTTCCTTTCTAAGTGATGCAGAATTTCCATTTTGACAAGACACCATAGCTTACAGAATTTAATTGTTATATTCAATAGAAGATTATCCCTACCAGTTTGCCTAGAGAGTTATAGCTTTGCATTCATTTCTGACCAACATGTGCTTTTGATATAATCACATGTGGAAGTATCTTTGTCACTTCTCCAGTCTGCTTCATAATCACAGAAGATACAGACACTGCTGGCTGTGCAGGGAAGAGCACATGCTCCTTCAGTAAAGCCAAGGAAGTGGACTTATCTTACTGCTGCCTTGGAACTGAGACACATCCAGCAACTCGAATTTCCCCAAAATATTTTATGTGTGAATATAAGAATAGGATGAGGGAAATGGAAAGGCTTATAACAGTTTCAGTCATAACTCAAAAGTTGGAATTTTTATGAGATGTCTTTAATTTGAAAGTGAAGAGAATAATTAAATTAATTGAAATCTGAGATTTCTTTTTCCTCTTTGAATGTAACAATTGATTTTTTCCCCTAAATGATTTGACATTAACAATTTTCAGGATACATAAGTGAGGGTGTGGGTCAATGACGCAGAGAGGAATCGTAGTGAAATGGTGTTCTCCTATGATAATTATCCACACAAACAAAAAAGGCCCACACTAACACCACTCCTGCTTTAAAATTATGTTATCAGATACAAGGCGTTATTAGTTACCCAGAGACGCCTGGGGTTCCTTAGATCTTCAATTTCCAACTGCTGTTTTGAGGAGAGCTGAATTTTCTCTCCTTTTTTGCCAATGATTAATATGATTAATATTTCAACAGTAAAGCCAAGAAAATGGGTATAGACCAATAGCTAGTGCCTCTAATAACTAATTGCTAAGAATCATTCAATGACTCTAACTTGTCCTAAAACTTCGAAGTGTTAGGACATTTTCTCACAAGCCTCTTCTTGTCTTGAGACATTTTCTGCTACCACCTACATATGATTTGTGAGTCAGAAATTTAACTGAGGCATTTTTTATGTACATTCAGAGCGTCCTTCCCAGGGGGGATTCAAGAGGCACCCCATTAGGCAGCTGGCAAGCATTCATTCATTAAAATATGTTAAGAAATATTATTTGTCTCACACTGATTTCTTGCACAATAGCAACTCCCTTTTTTTTGGTTTATTTATAAAATGACTGTCAAATTAAAATATCAAATAGCTTTAAACATTAGTATTTCACCTTATAACCTGACAACTGCATCACTTGAAATATCTACATAAAAGCTCAGCTCAATTCTAAACACCTGGGATTTGCCTGCTTGCTACTAAGCAGGTGTGTAAAAGAGTCATGTGTCTCTCTGACACTCTGAAGTGACAGGTGTGGCTGTAGCAGACCCTCATCAGCTAATCAGCAGCAGTTACTGGGTGAGTGCCCCATCTTCCCTGGGAACTGCCAGTCCTCTGACTAGCTTCATTCCAGACCTACCTCGGAGACACCAGAGTTTTTTCCATAAAGCCAACTCAAAAACTAGTCTCTATCTTGTTCACTGCCCACAAGTCAGTGAGACAAAAGTGTGCCCATCAAGCAGCAGGCATGCGTGGAGATAACTTCAAACATCCGAACTTGAGACCCTTCTTCCATCCTCTCTCTCCTTCTCCTCCTCCTCCTCAACTCTGGAGGACACAAAAACATATACAGAAGACTTCCTGCCCTAGAGGAATCCAAGTCTGGTTAGGAACAAAACACCAACACGCAGAAAAACAACAGAAATCACACAAAACAGAATGAAATCAGGTGCTGAATTGTAACTTAAGAGCTGTAGGAGTTCTAGCTACATATCCTGAAATACCGAGTGGCGGTGATGTGCAATTAGCCAACACACACTGATTACGCAAAGCAGGAAAACAAGTCAGGGGAAACAAGGAAAAAGAAATTTAGTAGCTCCCTGTAATCATGATATGGACACTAAAAGCTAAGGTGAAATGTTTCAATGGGGGAAAGTGAGTCAACTTCCAATCTCCAAACCATCTTTACCAGCCGTCTTCCTACAGCGGTTCTAGATCCTTTCTTCATTCCAACCCAACCAGGCAGGACTCTAACGGACTAAACAGCGCTGCCACTGAAAGAACTAAAGGGAGGAGCCCCCTCCCCCGCGCCAGCTCCCCCACCGCCCACCCGAGTCACCTCCCCCCTCAGCCCTGCGGTGCGCTCAGACCCAGGAGTCGCCTCCACCCACCAGATTTTGCCTTGTAATTTCTAACCAGCCGATTCAGCACATCTCCCAGCTAGCCGTGTGGGGCTTCCGGCAGCCCTTGGGGCTTTGTCTCTTCTTAGACTAAGACTTAGAGCTGGAAGGTGGGTGGTAACCGCGGGACAAAACTCCTGTTCGCCCATTCAAGAACGGCCTAAGTTGGCGCATGGCGATGGGGCGCCAGTTTTACAAGGAAAAGTCAATACCTTCACACTGATGGTAGCAATCATGGGAAATCCACTTCTGAGGCCACAGCTGCCCTGTCAGGATGAATCACCATCTTTGCTTAACATAAATCTGACCTAAGTAAAGCCAGCGTGAGAGCCAGCACGCCTGCACCTTCACACTGGCTGCTTCTGCAGGAATCATGAAGCAAGATACCTGAGCAGGTGACAGCCACTAAGGCTGGACACAATTCCCCAAACGCGGCCTGCTCTTGCAGTGTTAATTCTCCTACCACTTGCTTTGTGAATATCCATTTTCTGTCACCTGCATCTCAAGACACAAAACACCCAACCAAATGAGAGCAGTGAGACCTCATAATCCAAGCACAGTCGTCCGGGAAAAGAACCGAGCTGCTCAAGGATCCTCTCCAGAAATCCTATCACTGCTCCCCTTTCGTGGTGTGTGTGCAGGGGAAAGAAGGGTCGGGGACGCGGCTTCTTGCGATTTCTCCACTGTGGAAGGAGGAAGAAGCGAGCAGGGCCCAGGGAAGCACCCTCTGCTGGGGCTCGGATGGCCGCACGTCCAGGTCCAGGGCCCAGGCAGACGCCCGTGCCAGCCTCGGCAAAAGCAGGACTTGTCACCCCCCCACCCACCTCCAACCCTAGACCTTGGCATATCGTCGAAAGTGATGGAATCAATTAGGGAATTCAAGGAGGCCTTTGTTGCCTGTGAGATTTGGGGAAGAGAAAGAAGCAGGGACTTGGCCAGCACTGGTGGCGCCACCTCCTTGCCCACTCTGAACCCAAATTCCGAGAAGGTAACCAACCCTGCGCAACCGCGTTATAGCGCAGAGCGTCGCAGGGAACTGGAACCTCCGCGGCTGGAACTTAAATCTTCAAACCGTTGAGAACGCATGTTTTTCTAATAAAAAAACATTAAAGGAGAGCTTCAAATACAATAGTACTGTTGAACTAGTCTAAGTAGAAATATCAATAATAGGAACAACAGCTATCTTTTAAGCCCACTCACTCCCCAAAACGCAGGGAGCCGAGGTCTGGGGCTTTGCATCCTCCTTAGGTCACCAGTCTCAGCCTCTCGGCGCTCTGTCCCCGGGCCGCCGAGAGGCTGGAGGCGGGGTGGGGGGAGCGGGGAGTCAGGACGCTCGGGGGGCTCGGAGCACTGGGGGGGGCCTGGGTTCTGCGGGCCCTCGAGGGGCCCTCGGGGTACCCGGGAGGCCCGGCGCGCCCCGCCCGCAGCTTTGGGACGGCCAGGCGGCGAGGAGCCGCCCCCTCCGTAACTTTCTGAACAGCTTCGGGGAGGAGGCGGGGTGTGGGGTGCGGTTAAAAGGCGCCGCTGGCGCAGGCAGGTGCTGAAGACTCGAAGCGCCCGGCGCGCTCCGCTGTCCTCGACTCTGAGCCAGGCGGCGGCGCCCGGCCCGCAGCGAGCGCAAAAGCGGCCCCGGCCAGGACCAGCCCAGGACCGGCGGGAGTGCCCGCGCCGCCACCCTCGACCTCCTCGCCGCCCGCCGACCCCGGCCTCGCCGCCCGCCGACCCCGGCCCCGCCGCGCGCTCCCTCCGACGCAGGTGAGGCCGCCCTGCCGCTGCGCCCCGGTCGGAGCAGTAAGGCCGGCGCCCGACTGTCGGCGCCCCGGGACGGCCAGGGGCTGGGCACCTGGCGCGGGGAAGGACTTCGGGACGGCCAGGGGCTGGGAGCCCGGGGCCCCCGGGTTGGACCCGGCGCGCACGGAGGGCCCTGCGTCGTCCCTGTCCCGGGCAGTCGCGACAGCGGACCTGGGGCAGAGGGCAGGCGGCGAGAGCGGACTTCTGGAAAGGGAGTTTCTTGGGCCGGGTTCTGAAATTGGAATCGGCCTGCTCCGGCCGGATTTGCGGCGGCGGCTGGGGAAGGGGACGTGGTAACCTAACCCCAGAGTTGGGGATCGGGTTGGCGCGCCGGCCGCGGGGGAGGGGAAGGAAGCCGAGACGGTTCGACCGCCACGTGACTGTGTGATTGTCCATACTATTGCTTCGGGGAAATTCTCGCACTGCCGCCGCGTTGCTCTGTCTGCCGCCACCAAAAGTTTTTAATTGGCCGAAGGCTTAGCTTAGGAAGAAAACTCGATTTCGTTTGTTAAGCAGGACGCCTTCCCTGGAGGAAACTGACCTTTACTCCCTCGCACTGCCTTTGCAAAGACAAGCACTGGTCGAGGTCGGGCGGAGATTAGTTAGAGATCCCTGCTTCTGAGCAGGGAGACCGTGGCCTAAATTTGAGGCGAGATTTTGGTTGCTTCTCTTTCTCCTAAACAATTTAAGAGAGTTTGCCTCCACGTGGTGTTTTCCAGCTTTTAGGACACTTGTTTACAAATAAGGTAGTGTTCAGCTGAGAAACGCGTTCTTTGGCGCGGTTTCGTCAGCCCTTTGGTGTTCCTCACTGGAGGCGGGAAGTCAGCCTAAATAGCTGCGTCCTCTAGCTTCTGATAGCTGGACACCTGTGACCATTTACTTGGGACTGTGTCTTGAGATGTGTGGCAACAGCCATGTCCCCATTTGCCCTTTGAGTCTGTTCCAAAACTACTGTGCTACGTCAGGCACAATTACAGACACGTGGAGTGGGGTGGGGCGCTCTGTGGAGACGGCTAGTTAAGATCAACCATCAAAAAAGTAAGGATTGAGAAGAGTTCAGGGGTAGAGAATTCCTTTCGACTTTCTGGAACCTGGTGATTCACCCAGCGCCTTCCCTAAAGAACAGAGCCAACTCTTCAACTCACCTCTGGCAGCGGTCCAAACAATTGCAGGGTATGTGGGCCAGGTGCCAGGGCAGGAAGGGCAGGAGGGCAGCTCCCTGCTAATTGGAATATTGAGAACAATTTCATCCTGCTTGGTTAGTCCGTCTTGACCTATTACTCCTGTCCCATTTGGGGATCAAATTTTAATTTGTTCCTCTTCCTGAAAAGATCTATAGAACAGGTAGCTGCAGCTCAACCAAGAGCTTTAGAAAACAACAATATAGAGTTTACTTCAAGCTGTATTTTTCTCAACTGATGGTGATTGGCCTGGTTTACAGAAGAGTGTGTGGTCTGTGTTTGCTGCTGTGGAAGAAGGCAAGGCACAAGCCCCATGCCTAGATTTATAGCAGAATGTGTTGATATAAACCACAGACAGCTTAGTTCAGTGAGTGTCCTGTTCTCCACTTAGTAAGTGCCAGTGAAGAACTGGAATGTGTAATTTCGTAAGATGGTTAGAATATGAGTTTTGGTTCTGCTGTTGTGGCAGGACTAGACGGAGGTGTGGACCCTCCAGCAGCATGCCCTTTGGTTCACCTAAGGACCTCCCAGACAGTCTGTATTTAAAGGGTCAGGGCTGAACCTGGACCAAGCCACTGTTTTTCCCAATGGTGTTTCTCTTTTTCACACTGAGTAGGGCTAAATGTTTCTGAATATATTTCGATCTTATGTAACTTTTGTGTCCATGACTCTTCTCCATGTCTCTACTGCCTCCTCTGACCAAGGTGGTGCCCCACAGCAGAGCCCAAGATGAGGTGCAGTGGTAAAAGACATTAATTTCGAGCCAGCTTAGGAGCCAGTTTAGGTCCATCGGGAAACAGGACCCAACTTGCTCCAAGTGAGGAGACATTATGCTTTTAAGTGAGAGAAGAAGGAGAATTTGCTAACAGCTTTAGAAGGGGTGGAAAACAGATTACTCATCGGGATTGTGGAGAGGTGGAACCTTGTTTAGAAGAGGGGTTCATTGAGACAGACGGGGTGTAACTATGAATAAATCAGGACAGTTTGTATCCTAGGATAGAGAGAAGGGTGCTGGCTCATGGCAGACTGGTCTGTGGCTTCTCCAGATCCCTTCTTAGTGAAGAGTACATCACCCCAGCAAGCTTGGCTTCTGTGGCACCTTGTAGGGCCAGTAACTGGGGAATCCCTGAGTTAAATTTTCTGTCATTTTTCATAATGTACCTCTTTAGAGACACTTCTAAATTAAAACCACAGCCCACAATAAAAATGCACAGTTGCAACACTTATCAAAACAGATACGCCTGAGGACAAACCGAGGACTCAGCTCCAGTGTGACAGTGAGGACCACCAGTCCACACACAAAAGGGACGCAAAAACCCACCTGTGTGTCGGCTTGTCTCCTTAGAGAGACCATTTCTAACCTGCTCCTTTTCATGCAGAAAAAGGAAGTGAGGCCATTTGTGAAATTTTAAGTTGGAGTGCCTCAAATGTGAACTCTACTGTTGGTAACAATCATTTCACTGCCACATCCCAAGTCCATGAAATTAACTGAAATATTTTAGAGAAAGTGGCTCTGCAGGGAGACTTCACCTTTAAGGCAACGTTGGCCCCACTGGTATCAGTCCCAGTGGTATCAGTCCCAGTGGTACCGTCCAGAACTTGAGGCTGGCAAGCCAATGCAACTGTGGAATGCTGAGGACGTTGCGCGGGTCGGGAAGACCCAGGGAGTGTGTGCGGACGGCTCCACCAGCACTATTAGTGCCTTTGAGATAGTGAGTTCTTCTGCTTGTGGTGCTTCCCTCCCCGCCCCCCAAATTTTTATCATGTGCTGAAGTTTGGGTGAATTACTCAGGTGAATGAGCCACTCTTCATCAGAGAATACCTGAAACATGTCCGAGGTGATTTGGGAACTATACATTTAATCCTATGGCAAACTAAGTCGGTTTTGTTTTCACCTTTTTGGTGAGGTTGTGTAAGAGTTGGTATTTGCTCAGGAAGAGATTTAAGAGTGCTTACTCACCTGAGACCTAGAGAGACCTCCCAGGTTCTGTACTGACTAGTCACCTCTGTACTGTGTTCATCTTGTCTTTTCCAGTGCACACCGCCCAGAGGAGAAGATGGATTGGAGCACATTGCAGACTATTCTGGGGGGTGTCAATAAACACTCCACCAGTATTGGAAAAATCTGGCTCACCGTCCTTTTCATTTTCCGAATCATGATCCTTGTTGTAGCTGCAAAGGAGGTGTGGGGAGATGAGCAAGCTGATTTTGTCTGCAACACTCTACAGCCAGGGTGCAAAAATGTGTGCTATGATCACTATTTCCCTGTCTCTCACATCCGACTCTGGGCTCTTCAGCTGATCTTCGTGTCCACACCAGCTCTCTTGGTGGCCATGCATGTTGCCTACCAGAGACACGAAAAGAAAAGGAAGTTCATTAAGGGAGAGATAAAGAGTGAATTTAAAGATATTGAAGAGATCAAAAGCCAGAAGGTCCGTATCGAAGGGTCGCTGTGGTGGACCTACACCAGCAGCATCTTCTTCCGAGTCATCTTTGAAGCTGTCTTCATGTATGTCTTCTATGTCATGTATGATGGGTTCTCCATGCAGCGTTTGGTGAAATGTAACGCCTGGCCTTGTCCCAATACAGTGGACTGCTTTGTTTCCAGGCCCACGGAAAAGACTGTCTTTACGGTTTTCATGATAGCAGTGTCTGGAATTTGCATCCTGCTAAATGTCACTGAATTGTGTTATTTGCTAATTAGATATTGTTCTGGAAAGTCAAAAAAACCCGTTTAACACATTACCCCCTATTAGATAAAAGATAACATGAAAAGGATGAGGCAATCTGTGCTTAGCTGTCAAGGCACAGTCACCAGCATTTCTTATAAAGGTTCTTATCTTAAATGCAACCATTTGAAACTCCTGTAGATCTCACATGAAACTCCACACGCCTCTGATAAAGCTCTACTCTCCTAAAGCTTCAAAACAGAGGCTTAAATCTATGCCTGTACTGATTTTTACTAAAATTAGTTTCGATGAAATCCCCTGCTGCTAGGGGTTATTTGTGTTAGGTACTTTCATATTTTAAACAAAGGATATCGGCATTTGTTTCTCTTCCTTGGAGGAAAGGGGAGAAACACCAGGTCCCAAAGAAGACGCTGGGAAGGTCTGATTGCTCCTCTTCGAGTTCCCTTTGCCATTTCCCCAAATTAAGGGTAAACATAGAGAATCTTTGTTCTTTTATTTGCTTTGGAAGTTTTAGTCTCTGACGATGGACAAGGTTACCTAATGCTTCAAATGCTGTTATACTAGGTGAAAACTTTAAAATAAGACATGAGCTTTTGATCTACAAGATATTCTGAAAACTGTTATATGTTCTTCCTATTTCGAAGGCTCAGATTGTGGTTTGTAAATGGTGTGTAATTAGGTACTATCATTTAATTTAAAATATTTAGTTATGCATAATTCGCAGTGCCACTGTGAGGCTGTCCACTATACTAACTGTGGAATGTAGTACATGGAAAGATTTCAGCCTCTCTCAAGGGGAACAAACTAGAAGTTCTTAGTGATGGCTTGTGATAGCAAATGGCCTCATTTTAAAAATTGAGGTGTAGTTTTGCATAAGAAATATAGACTGGATGTAACACCAACTACTACACAATTACGAGTGGTGTGCACTGGGTGGTATGCACCCTCTCTTCCCTTACAGTGTTGGCCTTTTCCATTACTGTGGTAAATGGGAGGAGCACTGATGTAAAGAGGTTGCTTGGGAACATTTTATTGCCACAGTACAATTTCATGGTGCGGAACAAGTGGGGAGGAGAGGGGGTACTATTTGTAAAGAACGGTTGGAAAGATTGGACTCTAAATTCTGATGAGTAAAAGTGAGTTTTGTCTACTTCAAAAGTTTGTTTGCTTCCCTCTTCAACATCCAATTTTTTTAAGTGAAAATAGAATTAATAGATATTTTTTAAAAGTAGAAACTAGGGTTTAGATAAGTATTAAGCAGTTCTATAGGACAAATTGAACCCTAATATTATCATTATGCTTGATATGGTTTCCAAAAAATGGTACTCAACATACTTCAATGAGGGTAAACATTTTCCTGTTGCTAAGAATAGCATTATAAAAACACTTTGTAATAATGAATAATAGCTTTAATTACATGCTTGTAACTAAAATAATTTTGTAATGTCTCAAATGTCATTTAAAATATTAAAATATAATAGTTATTTAAAATCTATTACAGTTTTTAATGGAATAGCATATTTTAATTTGATCTGTAGCCAGTTTTGTAAACTACGTTAATATTTTACATTTCATAACACCAAACAGGTAAGTTACCAGGGCGTCTGTCCACCATTCTGGGAGTCTTCTGCCCCGGTTACAGAAGAGCCTCTATCACTAGAAAGATCGACTGGTAAGAAGGAAAGAAAGCTGTGTTCTGTCCAGCCCCATGCTCACCTCTCACAGGTTTTTGGTGGACACATGCATAATATGCTGTGTGGGTAGATTTGTGGCTTGGAGAATGCTGAGTTGGATTCATGTGACCAGTTTGGCTCCTAAAAGAATCATAGAAGCTGACACTTGAAACTGTTATTCGTGGTGAAAGTTGGCTGAGGCGTGAGAAGAATTCTATAAGGTGTCTTTTCTATGGGATTTTTCTTTCCGTATATTTGTATGCAACTAAAGCTGGTCTTATGAAACTGCTTTTTATTCTTTGGTGGCCACTTCCGTGGAAATAAACCCTGTGGCTCATCCTGTCCTGTATGTGACTGGCTGCTGCTACCTGCAGGCCTGTCTGTCCCTCAGGCGCTGTCCCCAACACAGCCAACAATGACTCTGTCCTTTTAATAGTATGAGCCTTCCATCCAAGGACTTGAAAGCATTTTCCACTTCAATAATTATGAGTATTTTTATGGATTTAAAAGGACAAAAAACAGTCCACTTTCATCCAGGTGATAGAAAAAAGATAAGAAATAGTCCCCGGCTCCCTTTCATCGTGCTCTGCACATAGCCTGTTAAAAACAGTGCACGGCTTTTAAATAGATATGTTCACTCTTGCAAGCTATGAAGATTATTATTCTCAAGGTATTAAAAGATTAGGTCAAAATAATTACAGGCTATTAATGACCACTTTTAAGAACTTATAGAGAGGTCTGGCTACATGCCTGAAAATTAGAGCTTGAACTCTGAAAATGGTCATCCTGAATATATATCTCACATCATCAATTTATAATTTGTACCAGGTAAGAAAAAGCTCTGTTTTGGGGCCTGCCCGGTGGCGTAGCAGTTAAGTTCGCGCACTCCGCTTCGGGGGGCGGGGTTTGCAGGTTCTGATCCTGGGCGCAGATTGTCGCACCACTTGTCAAGCCATGCTGGGTCAGGCGTCCCATATAAAGTAGAGGAAGATGGGCACGGATGTTAGCTCAGGGCTCATCTTCCTCCCCCCCCAAAAAAAAAAACTCTTTTATTTTTTTTTAAAGATTCCAGCAGAGGGCTCTGTGTCAGGTTGGCCATATCAAGTCCACAGCCTCACGTGGGCCAGCCTTCTGAGGGCCTTCAGCACTGGCTGAGCCTCAGTGCAGATGACCTCTGGGAGTTTATGAAACAGCAGGTACAGCCCAGCTGCTAGTTCTACCTTGTACGAGGATTATTAATAAACTGAGAACCGTGATCTCAAACTACTCTTCCGGAGAGGTGCAATTGTCAAAAGGTGAATCACGATTGGTATGAGTGAGTCAGGGTCAACTCGGAGGACAAATGTTGTGCTCCACGGGGTGGCCCGGGTCTGAGCTGTCCGTCGCTGCTCTCACTGACCTACACGACCAGCTAGAGAGCAGCAGGCAGCACGCAGAGAGGGGTCTGTCGTGGGAGACAGAAGCTCACTTCTTTCCCCAGATCTCAGTTTCCTCATCTTAAATGGGCTCACTGAATACTTCCCAAGGTTAATGGCAATCAAATATGATAATTTATGTAAAGTTCTCCACATAGTAAAGCACTAAGTAAAATATTATTGTCATCTGTTCTATCAGATACATCTCAAGCTAGAAAGATGATGGATGGTATTTTAGATAGGAATGACTCAACCAAAGCTTGATAAACTGGAAGCTTGAAAAAAATGCACATTTACACAAAGCCTGAGACAAGTACCATAGAAGAGGAGGAGAGATTAGCCACACAGGACGAGGGAAGAATGGCTGAGTGCAAATACAACAGCACAACAGGATCAGGAGATGATGACTATGTTACCCTGGAGTTAAAGGAAAATCCACAGTGTGAGACAGAAAGTTTTGATTCATCTAGTTAGGTCTCTAAATATCTTACACGTATGTTACCAAATGCTCTACATATGTGATCTCATTAATCCTCACAGCAACAACATGAAGTAGTGGGCCTGTAGGTCACAATATTCCTATTGAAGGGCTCAGGAAGGTGCAGCTCAGGGAGATGACATGTCATGCTCAAAGACCAATAGAGATGGTCCTGCCACAGTAATAATGTGGAGTGGACCCTAGAATTCCCCTAGTGCATTTAATTCCTGAAGCTAGTAGCCAACACCACAGGGCTACACATCTTCCCCAATGTTGGCAGGGTTAAAGAGGCAATCCCCACTGCTCGAGACACTCCATTCCACTCCTGCACGTCTCCAATTATTCATTTACTCAGCCAGTATTTATTGAGTACCGAGTGCTAGGAACTACTGGGCAGCAGGACTGTGAGCAAAACAAAGTCTCTGCCTGCACGTTGAGGAGGAAGACTATAACAAATACCTGTGGATTCTTTTTTTTATATATATATAATTTTTATTTATTTATTTTTTTCCCCCAAAGCCCCAGTAGATAGTTGTATGTCATAGTTGCACAGCCTTCTAGTTGCTGTATGTGGGACGCGGCCTCAGTGTGGCCGAGACGGAGAAGCGGTGCGTTGGTGCGTGCCCGGGATCCGAACCTGGCCGTCAGCAGGGGAGTGTGCACACTTAACCACTAAGCCACGGGGCCAGCCCATACCTGTGGATTCTATGTGCTGCAGACAAGTGCAATGAGAAAAATAAAACAACGGAAGGGAGCTAGGAAGTGCCGGGGGCCAAGAAAATTGCTATTTAGTGTAGGGCGGTCAGGGAAGTCTTCTCTGCTAAGAGACCCAAAGGGAACAGGGAAGCAAGCCAAACGGATCTCTTAGGGAAGAGCAGTCCAGTGAGAGAGAAAGGCCGGCACCCAGAGTCACCAGGAGAATGGGATGAAATGAGGCCAAGGAGGGGGCGGGTAGTACAGATCGTGTGAGGCCCATGGGCCACTAGGAAGTTTCATTACTGCTGTGCTGACATTGGCCTGCTTATAACATCTGCTCTCCAGCATCTGTTCTGCCCTCTGGTGGACCCAAAGTAAGTGTATTTTCCACTTATGAACGTTAAGTAGCTGAAAATAGATCCAAGTTCAATCTTAACTTTATTCTCCAGCTATGCAGCTCCACATTCCCCACTTGGTCATTCATTCATTCAATATTAAGCAACTTCTGTTTACCAACCCACTAGGTACAGGCAGGTAAGAAAGAATAAAATACATTCTCTAACCACTGGTGGTCAAGCAGTGGTAACTGTGCCAGGAGTCATCCGGCTCCCCCTCAAGGCAGGAGATACACTTTAATACCTCAGTGTCCTCTCGGAAATGAGATGGTGCCCAGCACTAAATGCAGCTCTCCAGCATGGCTGAGCAATGGGGCAACTGCTCTGGACACACATTATTATTAAAGTAGTTTGATTCTGAGTTAACAGCCTCATCACCTTTCCTCATTTTCAATTAAAAGGCCACCAATGTGACTTATGTAATTATAGAATTAATATATAAATACATTCACATTTAAAATAAAATACAGAAGTATATAAAGGCAAAAATGAAAGTCTCATTTCACAGCCTTGCTCAGAAGTATCAGTATCCTTCCAGTCTTCTTTCTATACAATTGCAGATACGTATATACATATACACACAAGCATACACAACCATTTTGGTTTGCATTTCTTACTTTTTTCTGTGATAATTTCTCATTTAGTAATATGCCTTGGAAATCTTTCCAGGTCAGTATGTATAGATCTAACTTGTTCTTTTTAATAGATGTACAATATTCCGTGGAATGACTGAGCCATAAGTTATTTAACCATCTCCTTATCAATTAACAGTTACATTGTTTCCAATTTTTCACAAAGACTACTCCCCCTCCCCTTCTCTTCCTGCTCCCCTGCTCCTCACCTCCTTTCAAACCAGATCTTCCCTTTGTAATACGTGTCACATGGATTCTTGCAACCTAAATTCAGGGCTTTACACTTTCCCTGTTAAATTTCATCTTGCTGATTTTTGCTCATCCGTCTGGTTCATCCACATCTTTCTGAGTATCCACTTTATTAGCAATTCTTCCAACTTTATGTCATCTGTCAGTTTAATGAGCCTGCTTTCTCTATAGTCACTTAAGCCAATAAAAATGTTGAATATGGAATGCCACCAAAGATTTTCTTTGAGTTTAACATCAGTCCATTTACCAATATGATTTGAGTTTGGAGTTTTAAGGATAAACACACTTAGCTGTATCTAGTTCACAAGTTTTTATCTTAATAGTAAGGATACTATGACAAACTTTGTGAAGTATCTTACAAAAATATTTAAGTGTATT